CTAGACTTGGAATTCCCTGACTGGGACTTTCTGTGTCAGCTCAAAGGGACATAGACAGAGTAGTGAGCTGGCTGGAAGGCTAGGCCACGAAAAGCTACAACATATCACTGGAGAACCAGAATTGCTAACAGGGGTGCTAGACTGAAAAAAACCCTGCAACACCCTGCATGGATGCTCTCTGGAAGTGAGAGACACATTCACAAGGCAGAATTCAGACACTGCTGTGATTCAGAGGAACTGATGATTGTAGACACACACACACACACACGCACATTTTTTAAGGCCTCCCTCAAGAATATTTTGGAATGATCAACTCAGTGGTGAACCTATAACCTGAAACCACTACAAAACCAAAATAGAGAACTTCAGGTTTTCCTTCAAGGAAATAACACACTTATTGTGTAGCATATTTCCAAAAGGCATTATGAATCTCCTGTTCTTGGCAAGGCCTCCAGCGACTGAGAAGAGTGACTGGAAACACTTCTGCTATAATTGAGGCTGGTTAGCAGGGATTGTAAGTCTGTATTTGGATTGCAAATGGCCATGGTACTTTTACAAATTGCCCTGCTCTGGAACTGTGTGTTTACTGAAAAATACACCTCCTCTACTCAAGCTTAAAGAAGGTATATGTGGAGTGCAGAGGTTGGGCTAAAGAACCTTGTTTGGAAAGGAGCTACAGTGAAAACCACTTATAGTCATATCTTCCCTCACCCCCTCATTCTAATCCTTTAGGGTATGTCTATACTACCCCACTAGTTCGAACTAGCGGGGTAACGTAGGCATACCGCAATTGCAAATGAAGCCCGGGATTTGACTTTCCCGGACTTCATTTGCGTAAGCGGGGCGCCGCCATTTTTAAATCCCCGCTCGTTCGAACCCCGTGCCGCGCGGCTACACGCGGCACGAACTAGGTAGTTCGAACTAGGCTTCCTAGTTCGAACTACCATTACTCCTCGTGAAAGAAAGAATGGGTAAGATGCTAGATAGAGACATGAGATCTGGATGCAGCACCCAGTTCTGTAATAGCTCTCCAGGGTGAACTTGGGCAAATCACTTAATCTCTCTGATTCAATCCCCTAACTGCAAAATGGGGATAAACATAATTTCTTTCTCCCATTGTTTATCTTCCTCATCTATCTGGCTTGCTCTTTGAGGCAGGTACTGTCTCCATCTATAAGCAATGGACTTAAACTGCAGCAAGGGAGGTTTAGGTTGGACATTAGGGGAAAACTTCCTACCTGTCAGGGTGGTTAAACACGGGAATCAATTGCCTAGGGAGGTTGTGGAGTCTCCATTACTGGAGCAGGTTAGACAGACATCTATCAGGGATGATCTAGATGGTGCTTGGTCCTGCCATGAGGGCAGGCAACTGGACTCGATGACCTATTGAAGCCCCCTTCCAGTTCTAGTGTTCTATGATTCTATGTGCGAGCTGTTGCACAAACTCTAGGTGCTACTGTAACATAAGCAATAACTTAAATACTCCAAGGCTATGTCTACACTGGCAAGTTCTTGCGCAAGAACAGCCATTCTTGTGCAAAAACATGCCAGCTGTCTACACTGCACGCACGTTCTTGCGCAAGTAAATCTACAGTACGGTGTCGGAAATCAGGGCTTCTTGAGTGGAAACTCTGACGCTCCCTCTCAGGAAGAAGCCTTCTTGCACAAGTGTTCTTGCGCAAGAGGCCAGTGTAGACGGGCAACATGAATTTCTTGTGCAACAAACCCCTATGGCTAAAATAGCCATCAGAGCTTTCTTGTGCAAGAGAGCATCTACACTGCCATGGGTGCTCTTGTGCAAAAGCACATGGCAGTGTAGACGCGCTCTTGTGGAAGATTTTTTGCACAAGAACTCTTCTGCAAAAGAGTTCTTGCGCAAGTAGTCGCCAGTGTAGATGTAGCCCAAGAAGGGCCACAATAAGGAAACTACACTGAGTATAGCCATGCCAAACATAAGCCCCATTTTTAAATTGTCCAATTTGGGTGCGTCTACACTGCACCCGTAGTTCGAAATAAGCAGTGCAATTTGAGCTATGCAAATTGCATGGCTTATTTTGAGTCAATCTTGAAATAGCTTAGTTCATAATCTGGTGCTGTCTGCACAATGCCAAATTTTAAAATAACCCGCTATTCCGAAACGTCCCTTTTTCCTTATGGAACAAGGTTTACATGGACTTTGGAATAGCAAGCCCATTAGATTTCAAAATAATGGTCTTGCTGTGAAGATGCAGGATAACTATTTCAGGATGTCTCCGGTATCCTGAAATAGCGCAGCCGTGTAGATGTAACCTTTCACAGCAGGATTTTCACGGTGTCCAGGTTCTAGGTTCCACTGCAGGTTCTAGGTTCCATCTGCAAAACGTTCCTGGACAGGTTTCTCGTTCCTAATATTTCTTTGGGTTTAGTTAGCTTTTAGAAGCAAAAATCAAACCAGAAAATTGACATATGTGGTGATAGTCTTAATAATGGTGTTTCCTTGTAATTACCTCCAGTGTAGTAATTTGTGCTTCTAAAATAATAGCACTTATTTCCTAATTGCTCTGGAAGAATGGATCTTCAACAGCCTTGCAGGATTAAGGATATTTTCTGTAAAAATAACAACAAACCTTCCCCCCCCCCAGTCTAATGTATGATGTAATTCTGTAAAGCTAAGCAGCCTCTGTTTCAACTGCAGTCAATTCAAGTTGAAGGTGCTCAGCCTTCCCCGAATTGGGCACAATGTTTGTAACCAGATGTGGTTCTCAATTCTGACTGATGTTAATTGCTCCTGCTTACACTTTTTACCTTTATTCTACATACGTCCCACTTACATGGTTGACGTGGGTGTGTCTGAAACCTAAACCACATAAGAACTTTCGATGTCAGGCAAGCAGCTGCAGTGCTGCTCTTGCATTTGTGAAAAGATCACACAAATCAATTAAAAAAAGGAAAAGAAAGAAAAGAAAGCCCTGGCTGCGTATCACCTCATCGTTAGTGTTCTGAATGCTGCTACGTTAAATAAGTGTTTTAGCCACATGACTTTGAAAGATCTTGGTTTCTTTATGGGGGGAAATGGTTTAAAATAGTTCTTGAATTGATCTGTTTCTTACCAGCTTGTGAAATGCGGCATGGAGTATTTTTCTGGAACCGATATGATACAACTTTTCCATAGCTTTCTGTTTCAGCAGTGCAACACTGCATGAAACCACATCCCTGTCCTCTGAAGTTTTATGAAACAATATATGTAGTGTGGTTGAGAGAGTAACTTAAAATGTCTACTGTAGAAGCACAGATGATACATGACGCTTAATGGGATGTTATAAACGAGTGATGCGATAGGTCTGCTGGAGAAGGAACATTCATTGCGGCATTCCATGCCGCAAATAAAGACAGAGGCATGGTTGGGAGGTCAAATTGGCCACAGCTTTTATTGAATAACCCATTGAACCAAATAAAGCAAACCTAAAACTACTCTGGCAATGCGTGCCAGGCTTGAGTCGCAGGTGCGGTTGGCTTTCTTAGGGTTACAGCCCATGCCGGGGAACAGAGCTTCTTGGACACTAATCTGCAGTACATTTGCTGGGGCTGGGGACCCCACAACCTTGAAACGAGTTATTGATGCTCCAGTTATGGGATGTGCAAGCAGGAGTGCTCCTGGTCATTGAAATGGACATGGCCTGCGTACCATTGCAGATGTCCCTCCCAGTGAGTTTGGCAGAGAGGAGCATGGGACAGGCGTGGCTGTTCCTCTCACTCATGTGTGAATGATGCCTCATCGGCACAGCTCACAAAATGGAGGCAAGGATCCATCAGCACTGTTTCCCTTTATTATTAGTTTAGGTTAGACATTAGGAAAAATTTCCTAACTGTCAGGGTGGTTAAACACTGGAATAAATTGCCTAGGGAGGATGTGGAATCTCCATTTCCGAAGATATTTAATAGCACGTTAGAGAGGCATCTTTCAGGGATGATCTAGATGGTTTTGGTCCTGCCAGGAGGGCAGGGGACTAGACTTGATGACCTCTCGAGGTCCCATCCAGTTCTAGTAGTCTACAATTCTATGATTAGTGTCACTATTTTGAAAGTATTGCCTGCCACAGTGTAAATTTTGAGCCAAAATTGGGTACCTATATGGAGTGCATTTGCGTATCGGAGAACCTGATGACCCCATAAGAAAAATGAAAACTCGCTAGAATTATCTGATCCTGGGTCATGTAAATTTCATCCATAACTTCACTTTAAGGTTGCTTTTTGCACTTGATGTAAAAACCACAGAGTCTCTAAAGACAGTGAACAATAACAGAGAGGTCTGACCATCTTCTCCATTTTCCTCTGTCCTCATTCCATTATTGGAGGTCGTCTGGCATTACCTGAGCCTGTAGCACATGTAGCAGTCATGGTTGCTAGCCTCCATTCCATACACTGATTAGCCACTACATAGATCCCTTTCTCCTTCCTTTCTAGAGGCCACAGTTGCCTTTCTCCATAAATTCTCAACCCACTGAAGTGTAAGTTTCCCCAGCACACAGTCAGATGCTCACAGGGCTGTCAAACGTAATAGTCATTCACCAGCTGGTCTCGAATCTTTAACCAGGCAAAGGTAGCTCCTTAAGGTCTCTGTCATGGGCTATACATTATTCTACACAGATCTGCACCCCAGCTCTGGATCCACCCACCTTCAAATTATAGGGAATTCTGGAAAAACTCCTAACTCAATGGGGAATGCTAAAAGTCTGAATTCTCAATCTGGACATTCACCTTTCCTCTAGAACCATGATGTTCAACCAGTTCTGAAGTAGTAGCCACTATAGTGGACTAGAGTGGCAATTGCTATAGTGAACTAGCCACACTCAACTGGTCAAGTAGCCATATGTGGCTAGTGTGTTGGATACTATGGCTCCAGAACCATTCCTACCCTCTACAATGTCCAGTGTGCTTTGATGTTCCTTGTCTAGGGAAGGGGTGAACTAACTGTTGACGTCAGGATTTTAGAATGTGTTGTTCTGTTGTTTCCCCTGTAGGTGACAGTGAGATTGTAAATAATATGTATGAGACAGACCCTGATCTCCTGGCTGGTGAGAGTGCAGAGGAGGAAACAGAGGACAGTATTATGTCCCCTATCCCCGTTGGACCTCCATCACCTTTTCCTACCAGTGAGGACTTCACCCCCAAGGAAGGCTCACCTTACGAAGCCCCCGTCTACATTCCCGATGACATTCCAGTCCCACCAGACTTTGAACTCAAAGAATCCTCGATTCCAGGGGCAGGGCTGGGGATATGGGCCAAAAAGAAGATCGAAGTGGGGGAAAGATTTGGACCTTACATGACAATACCAAGGACCACATTAAAGGAAACAAACTTTGGATGGGAGGTAAGCATGCCGAATATAATTGATCACTCTCATTTGTCTTGTATACAAAATAGTTATGACGCTATATTGAGTTCCAACTGGTCTGGTAACAAGAGTATTTAGAAAGGAGATACCCTGCTAATGTCATATTTCTTTGGTGTATTTTTTGTATCACAGTTTACATGCACTACTTTAAAAAGCAACAGAAATGCTGCTGGATAGCTTTTGGTCCGCAAATGTCCCTCTAGCACCATTGTCAGAAGGCTGGCTTTTGTGATGTTGTGTCATTTCTTCAAACACACATTCTTGCTATTTTCTAAAGTTGCTGTCACAACGGAACAAATCAGATTAATCGCACAGTACTTTCAAGATGCCAAAATACATACGTGTGTTACCTTAGCTGGCCAGTTCATATTTGTCGGACCAGTCCTTCAGCTGGTTGTAGAAAAAACACTTGCATCCATTAGTATCACTGATAAGTGTATTCTAGAGCCCTTTGCCATGTGACAATGGAAAAGAAACAGAAAAAGGGGCTCTTCTGGCTCCTTGTTCCCCCAGAATTGAACGAGGAGCCATTTTAGAATAAGGAAAACAGTAATATCCTTAATACACTTGTCTGCCTCTTTGCTTGACTGTTGCGTTTACCCTAGAACTTTTTCCAACCTCTCCAGCAATGTGAATTCCTGTCTGTAAATATCCCACACCACTATTTACCCTAGAACCTTTTCCAACCTCTCCAGCTCTGTGAATTCCTGTCTGTAAATATCCCACACCACTCTTACAGTATGGAGAATTATTTGTGAATTGTATATTAGCTCAAACGTAATTTAGCTGTTTTGGAGAAATGTTGTTTAACACGTTGTTGTTAAAATTCTGTAGGAAGGTTGTGTTGTGTTTAATCTCTAGCCCTGACTGATAGGAAAACAAGGTCCCATTTTCAGTTCCAGGATGCTCAGCAGTGTTAAAACACCTGAAATTTTATTAACCGCTATGGTTTAAAGAACCCGAGGGAAAATACTTCCTAGCAAGGTTTCCAGTACTTTTTGGTTTTGGTCACGTTAGAAAAGGTATAGTACAAGAACTGCCTGTCTTCTGGTATTTCTCCTTCCCATCCTGGATGATATTCAAGGCAAATACGTGATGTAGTTTCTTTAGTTTTGTTCACATGCAATTCCAAAATATTAGAAAAACCATGCTGGTTTTAATAAGCTCACATCTATAGTCGGAACCACCGAGTAGTATATTTTTGGAAAAAAATATATCTCTATATATGCTTATTCTCATTTCTGAAACAATGCACTTTATAACAATGACACATCTTATTCTGCCATTTGCCAAGATGGGAGAATAGAGGTGACAGCTTCTTACAATGTTTTGCAAACTAAATAGCCTACTCGAGTTCAAACTGTGGGTGAAACAATTGTTGTTTTTTCACAAATATTTTTATACATTAAATTCTGTTTGTATGACTTAAAAAACGAAGTGAGTAATACGTGCAATTCAAACTTCTTTCTGTAAGGAAATTAAATTTGTCTCGTAACTGAATGGATTTTGCTTGAGACAAAAAGTGGAAATGCCATATGACGTCAAATGGCCAATGAATGGGTGGCAAAAGCCAAAAGAAGCCCACACATTTTTGTTTGACCATTTTTCAGAGTATGAACATTCTTTGATGTTTATGAGTTCAAATTTCATTTAAAATGTTTGCGCTCAACTCTGGTTATATGTACAATCCTCAAAATTCATTGAGTCTTTAGATTTTACAGTCAGATTCCAATGAATCCTCGATAAATGTGTTCAGCTGTAGCTGATGTCTTTGTCTACTTTTTTAAATGTCCAATGTGCAGAAAAAAGAAAAAGAAGAAAAGGCAGTACACAAACAAAGCCCGACTAAATATTACCTTTCCTCTGTAGTAGGAAGTTCCTGAAGAGTTAGAAGTGGGAACTTGCTTGAATTATGAATGAATGAGTGAGTCAGGGTTCCCTAGCTCTCCGGCTATGTCTACACTGCAGAGTTTTTGCACAAAAACTCATGGAGCATCCATACCTCAAGCGTGTTTTTGTGCAAGAAAATTTACAGAGAATCGACAGAACAGAGGGGTTTTGGCGATATAGGAATTCCTCTTTCTATGAGGAATAACTCCTTTTTGCACAAGAGCTCTTGCGCAAAAAGGTGTGTGTGGATGGGAAACAGGGTTTTTGTGTGCAAAAACAGCCTATCGAAAGAAGCACAGGTGCCCTGGTGGCCATTCTGTTAATGGGAATCAGGGCTTTCATGCAGTCTGAACGCTCTCTTGTGCAAAAGCGCATCGCTTTTCCGATACGCTTTTACAGTGTGGATGCACTCTTGTGCAAGAATTTTTTTCGGACAATCTCTTCCTCAAAAAGCTTTTTGCGTAAGAAACCTGCAGTGTAAACATAGCGAAAGAAAGACAGACAGACAGACTTTTCTCGGTATGCAATGGAGGTGCCTTCTAGGTTCATCCCCGAGTTAGCTCCTGTTGTGAAGTTTGTAGGGCACAGAATGGTTGGTCGATATCATGTTAAATTGATATCATGAATAAATTGCCAGGGAGGCTTTGGAATCTTCATTGGAGATATTTAAGAGCAGGCTAGATAAACAACTATCAGGGTAGTCTAGAGGGGGCTTGCTCCTGCTGTGAGGGCAGGGGACTGGACTTGATGACCTCTCGAGGTCCCTTCTAGTTCTAGAATTATATGATTCTATGTTCAAAATATGCTTTTGAAAAAGACTTCCCCCCCCATTAAAGTACTAGGAATATTTGTACATTTCAGGGAGTGGGTGAGCACAGGGAAGCTTGGGGAGCACATGAAATACTGTTTTCACACATTGAGAGAAACATAACATCTTGTGGAACAAAGGAAAGTCCTCAAGGAACATGAGAAGTAAATGGTTCTCAAGCTAGGAGGTGGGAGGGACTGAATGGAAGTAAATCCTCTTGTTTTTCTGAACCTGGCACATGTGGAATTGGTCTTTGAGCTTTTTGTCCTCCTCAGGATGATCAGAGATTAAATATGGTGCCATGTCTTTAGCTCACAAGTCCTGGAAATTGAAGGGAGTTTGAACACTGGAGTAGAGTATTTTCTTTTCCTCCTGTAACCTTGAGGTAACTTTGTTCTTGTCTGCTGTATTCTTCAGATAGAAGTCTCTGTTTACTTTCATGTTTTTCAGTAATGTTCCATATCACCATTACGCAATGAATGCTAGGCCTGGCACAAGCTTTTTCTATTATCGGCCATATATGTTGACTCTGTGATAGTATTTATTTTTGCAGTATACGTGAGAGAACTTTCCTTCTCTATGGTACGCCTCACATGTCTGTGGCATTCCTTTGTTCCCTGGCCTGCCAGCTACTTTTCATGCAAGAAAGTTCTCGATATTTGTCTTCAATCTAACAGCCTCAAACAGTCTTTGACCTACTCTGATGCTATCTGTTTTGACCTTGTGAGTTCAAATACAAGTCACCTCTTTCTTTGTGTGTCCTTTCTCCTTTCAGTTGGTCATTTACAAGTCAGTGATGAGCTATTTTTAATAATTGCTTTTTAGAAATCTACTTTTAGTCTCTTAAGAATCTTCCATGTGTTATGTCTCAGCAGCATGGCTGGAGAACCTTGAGTTCTGAATGGGAATGCATGTAAAAATAGCACTTGTGCTACTCTTTTTGTTGAATTTACATTTTGTTGCTATTTCATTTGAATGTAAGACTGGAAAAACCTGAAAACAGGTTTCCTGTGCTGTCTCCTCTAGTAATCCTTTTTCCTAAAGAATAATAATTTCTTAGAGCAAGCGTTTCCATCCTCTGGCAATGACAGTCACTACATAGGAAACTGGACACTGTGAAAGGACGATCAGTAAATATTTTGTAACACGTTAACATTTTAACTAGACTCTAAATCTCTGTGCTATTTGTTGCAGAAATAACAATCAACGATATAGAGAGTGTTAGTAATAGATCATGAAAAATGTTCACAATTATAACAGTGCTAGTTGTGTGCTAGCTACTCCCATACCAGTAAATACTCAACTATAATTCAACATAATAATTAAAAAAAAAAAAAAACTTCTGTGTGACTTCTGGTTTCAAAATTCCTTGATTTGTAGTGCTAGAAAGTAGAATCCTTTCACGGGACTATTTACTTACTGATGGCTAATACTCTACGAATATACAGTTTGATTTGCTGTGCAGCATTTCATGAATGTGTTTATTTCATGGAAGATCATTGTTCCTGGTTTGATACTTACAGAATAAGTGGATGTCATTTCATGTCCAATAGCTGCAATTTCTAAGTTAAAAATTAGCAGTTACAAATAAAAAATCCCAAAGACATTTTTTTTTAAATATAACTTTCTGGTTTTTTGGTAAAACTTAAAAAACAACGAATAGTCTAGTAGCACATTAAAGACTAACAAAACATGTAGATGGCATCATGAGCTTTTGTGGGCACAACCCACTTCTTCAGGTGACACAGATTTTTTAAAAAAATTTTTTTTTGGTGCTTTGGTTTCATCCCTCAAATGTAAAATGCTTGAATTTCAAAATGGGAGGTATTAAAGCAATCTTGGACTAATATAAATTAAGAATGCCGCTGGAACTTCTAATAATACGGAGGGATCAAGATCTGAGGGGTTTTTTACATCTTGTCTGAAAGTTGGTTGCTATAATGCTCACTAGCACCACCTTTGGGTATTGGTTCAGCACTAAATCTAGCCAATATTTTTCATCATACTTTCTAATTTTGACCACAACAGTGGAAGACAGTCACATTCTTTTTTGCCTTATATAGACCAGTTTCATTCAGATGTCTTTCAATAATGTTTTCGTAAAGCACTTATCTTTGTAATAGCTGACTATGAAGGCTGGGGGCTATCTGGAAAATTCAGATCAGGTGTTTGACTTAGATTTTGCACACCCCACAAATGTGAGTTTCTACAGAACTTGGGATTTAGTTGTCCCCATCTCTAATTATCCAGGAATGGCCACAATCTTAGGTAAATATAG